ATGCCTCAAACCCCATTAGTACCGGTCGGTGGCTGGAACCGGGACTAAAGGTCTAACCTTTAGTACCGGTTGGTGCCACGAACCGGTACTAATGGGCATCGCACCCTTTAGTCCCGGTTCGTGGCAACAACCGGGACTAAAGGTCATGTACGGTGCCCTAGCCGCTCGAACCTGGACTAATGCTCACATTAGTCCCGGTTCGTAATGCAACCGGGATTAATGCTCTTTTCTGGCCGAACCAAAACCCTGTTTTCTACTAGTGAATTGTGTCATAAACAACCAGAGAAAACCAGGGATTGTGCTAACTCTGCCATAAACATTCAGAGAGTTGTGCTAGTTCGACCTATCTGGATTATGCGGTCATCCTGATTAGAACACCGATCCGACCAAATTTAATTTGGTCTTCCAATTTCGACGACTGGTTTTAGTTGGATCTTTAATAGTTCGGTCTTGGTCTTTCCAGGTTCAATATTCGGCCTTCAGTTTGTACACCTGGGCTTAGGTATAGAATAATAAAATCCTGAACAGATAATATTGTCACGTATGACAATCGATACCGCACACGGTAGTAGGGGGCTTCTCCCACCCCAATGAGGTTGGGCGAGGATGGGCGCTTCTATGAATTTTCACGTGCCTAAAGCTCTTGGAATCATATTAGCTTTGGCATAAAAATACAGAGCTCCTTCTTTCGAATGTTTAAATTGTAATTCCTTGATAGAAGGGAAAACTGCAAATATCAAATCTGCAGCTTTTTTTATAATATCTATATACCCAATAATAAAAAGGCTATTGCTTCTGATGGTACGTCACCAAAATTGACCCCAAAGTTGCAAAATATTACCCACCGATGCCACCTATAAGTGATAAAAAAATTCACACAGCGGAATCCCCGCCTAATCCTGCGCTCTACGCGTTGGGAGAAGACACAACGCGCCTCTTTTGGGCCGGCCCATGTCTGGGCATCTGTTTTTTATATTTTGTTTTTTTATATTTACTTTTCCTTTTCTGTCTTCATTTTTCCTACTTTACAGAATTTGGAACTTCAAAATTTTTTCGAATATTACAAAAATGTGAATTTTGAAATAAATTTTATAATAATTCATAATGTTTGTGGATTCAGAAAATGTACGCAATTTTAAAAAATGTACACATATTCAAATTGTTTGCAATTTTGAAAAAAAGTGATCAGGAAATCGAATTTTTTTTGATGATTTTTCTAAAAAGAATTCATGTGTTAAAAATAAATAATGAAATTGAATAAAATTTTGACAATTCAAAATATGTTTCATGAATTGAAAAATATCCTAAAAATTCAAAAAATTGTTTGTGACTTACAATGTAGTTTATTGATTCAAAAAATGATCATGCATTACATAAAATGTTTGTTAAATCAAAACAATGTTTTTGAATTTCAAAATTTGTTCCACCAATTTCCAAAAAAATGTTCATCAATTTTTGAAATGTTTGCCTATGAAAAAAATTCTAAAACTTGTTTCAGTTTTTCGGAAAATGTTTGAAATATTATAAAATGTTCATGAATTAATTTTTTTTCCTGATTTTAGAAACTGTTCAAAAATCTGTAAAAATGTTCACAAAGAAAATATTCATGATTTTAGATATGTTCACGTGTTTCAAAAATTGCTCATGATTTCACGAAAATGAGAGTGATAGTGTATCTCGGTGGAAGCTGGATCCTCTAACATTCGAAGGGAAGTCATGTAAGCTACAGTAGCCTGACATCACTTCACTCTTGGCCCATGAACAGTGCTCATTTCAACTTTCAAAAGGTTGGTTTCAATTTCTAAAAGATCAATTTCAGTTCATGACATACAAATTTAAAATTTAGAAGCCTCATTTCAGTTTTTCAAAAACTCATTTCACTTATCTCAAAAGAACTATTTCAATTTCATAAGCTCCCTGACTTTCCTTCTCTTTTTTACACAAGAAGAACACTGTAGCTCCATCTCGGTGATGCAGCAAAATTTGGTCATGGACAACATCAGACGCACGCAGCACCTAGCACGAGCCCCTGCCCAAAAGAAACCTAGCACGAACCTTCGCCGTCTTTTCCCCTCGCACCCAGATCGCGATAGATTAACTGGGAACCTTGCTCGAAGAGCAGGTCCATATTGCAAGGGTCACGGCTGCTCGCCGGATTACGGTGGCGCATCGGTGTGTCATCTCTAGATATGGACATCGCCGGCTGGTTTGACCTCTTTTGCAGTATGTATCATCAATCTTTACGTTTCTGCAATTGATAATGAAGTTCTTGTGGTGTAATCTCAAGGAGGTCAACAACGGATCTCCTACATGCTTGATCTTTGAAACACAAATGGGGTAACCTACTCTTGATTTACTCACTGGCACAACAAGGTAAGAGTAACTTCGCACTATCATAGCTATCTAATTTGATTCCAAAAATATTTTGCATATCATTAATATATTTTCTCATCTATATTAATTTATATGATACTGCTATCGATAACAATCTTACTATTATCATTAGTTAGTCTAAGAACTATTATGTTTTGGATGAATATTTTTTTAGGACTACCTACTCTAAACCTATTAGTGCCTCAAACTTATTATGTGCTTCAATAGTTGTGCTAACCCTGACAATAAACATGGCTTTGTATATGGAAGGATGACTTGTAATATCTATGGACACCTTTGTCTATTTCCTCCATAGGCCATCATATATACCTTGGGCCACTCACAAGATTATAGAGACGTAGACCCAAAATATGGCATTGGATGTCACGAAGTATTGTTATGATGTTTATATTAAGGGCCCTGGGTTTTAGTTTCGGCCCCAAAAATCTCAGGACTGGTCCTGCCTGAGCAAAACCAGGAATGGAGACGGAAAAAAAACCATCTATAACCACGCATGCATGCCCTGCCAAAACCTCACAGAAAAAAGCAGAATTCTTATTTTATGTCGAGAGAGAGACGTCTTAGGATTGACAACATTCAAACGCGTTGTGATTGCGTGAGCATTGAGGCAACCATTAACGAGGGTGGAAAGGACAATAATTGGGAACACAGATGGGATGCCATGTGTTAAATTAAAGGACATGAAGTTACTGGGGTCTTGACTCATGATTATTGAGAGTGGGTTTTTTTTTCTCCCTTGCAACATACGGGCTTTTTTCTAGTCCCTCTGTCCCATAATATAAGAATGTTTTTTACACTAGTGTAATGTCAAAAACGTTCTTATATTATGAGACGGAGGGAGTAGTTATTATAAGATATTTTAAATATTTTAAAATAGAGTATGTACTGATTGAAATGAGTGAACAAACAAATTAAAATGCGTCTATATACCATTTATCCATTTAGACAAAGTTAGACCATTTTATAACAGCGAATGAAACTCAACGCGGCACATCTCCATCAGTCGGCGCTTCAGGACAAGCACGCCTTGAATAACTTGTCTGATCTCAGCCGTCGGTCTCACGCCGACGACTCATTTGGCCGTGCCTGCTTCCTCCTCGCCGGCCCACCTGCTGCGTCCGATCTGATACCGGGGGTGATCGCTCGCTCGATGACATGATCATACAAAAACTCACTAGAATTGCCAAAACATTTGATCGATCCGGTCCCGAAAGAGGCTGGGAGCATGAGTGTGCCATGCATGGCCGTATGATGAAGATGAACGCCTGCTGCTTGCTCATCTAGCTAGCTTTGCCATTATTAGTGAGACGGATATGGAGACTCCTGCACCTGTCTGCCTGCCTGCGTGAATCACCACTTCCCTTGCCTTTTCCTGAACAAGGAGTGTTGATCATCATTTACAGCAGGGTTTCCTCCGTCCCAAAATAAGTGACTCAACATTGCACTAGTACGTTAACGAGAGGATCGAATTGATTGATGAACTTAATCCCCATAGAATTAGCACTGTCATATATACAACACTGATGCAAATCATGATCGATCGTTTATGCCGAAAACAGCATCCGAGCACGATCATCGATCATTCTAGGAAGGGGTAATCGGTGTATCCGACAGCGGGGTGGGCGGCTCCGGCGCCGGCGCCGTAGAAGGTGGCGCTGACGCAGTCGTTGAGCGGCGCGCCCAGCTCGAACCTCCTCGGCAGGTCCGGGTTCGCCAGGAAGAGCCGCCCGTAGGCCACCAGGTCGGCGTACCCCTCGCCGACGGCCGCGTCGCCCTCCTCCCGCCCGTACCCGCCGCTGGCGATGAACGTGCCGCGGAACGCCTCCCTGTACGGCAGCAGCCGCCGGGACACGCGCCGCCGGCCGTCCACCTTGGGCTCGATCATGTGGCAGTAGAGCACGCCGAGGTCGTTGAGCCGGCTCACGACGTGGAGCGCCAGCGCGTGCTCGTCGGGCCCGGCGGTGAACTGGTCCAGCCGCAGGCCCAGGCGGTGGCCGCCGATCTCCCGCGCCACTGCCTCCACCACCTCCAGCGCGAACCGGCACCGGCTCTCCGGGCCGCCGCCGTCGTCGACGACGAAGTAGCCGTTGGTGCCTTGGAGCTCGACGCCGTCGAAGCCTGCCATGGCACGAGTGCACGGTTGGTATCTGATTTCAGAAACGAAACTGGGAAGCTCGAAAAAAAAACTGAAGCGCGCACCGGCATCGATGGCGTTCCTGGCGGCGCGTCTGAAGGCGTCGACGACGGCGGGCGCGTCCTCGGCGGCCACCCTCCTCGGCGACGTCAGCTCCTCGCGGCGGCCGTCGAAGCTCATCTGCGGGCTCACCAGCTGCCTTTGCGGGACGGCATCGCCGTCGCCGGCGGCGGCGTGCCAGAGCTGGCAGAAGATGACGGCGCCCTCGGCGCGCACGGCGTCGACCACGGGCCTCCACGCCTCGACCTGCTCGGCCGCCCAGACCCCCGGCATGTCCCTGAACGACGTCGGCTCCTCGTCCTCCCTTGCCGGCGCGACGCGCGTGGCCTCGGAGATGAGGAGCCCCCCGGGGGTGGCGCGCTGGGAGTAGTAGAGGGCGGCGTGCGGCTGCGGCACGCCGCCGTAGGCGCGCTGCCGCGTCATGGGCGCCAGCACGACCCGGTGCGACAGCTCGAACTGGCCCATCTTGTAGGGCGTGAGCAGAGGGATGGGCTCCATCGATCTCGGCTCCGCTCCGCTCCTCAGAGGCTGAGCAATGGCGCCTGTGATCTGCTTGCAGGGAGGGGAGAGGGGACAGAAGTGGCGGTGGATGCGGCGGGGAGGTCAAAGAATCCGTCCCGGCGATCGTATTATAAATTGATGGTACTGATCACCACCCGAGGTGGCTGTCGGAGTGACAGTGCGTGCGGTCGGTCCGTCTTGTCCAGCGCGGTGCCATTGCTGAAGCACCGCAAGCTAAGAGCACCATGGAGAGCAATTGATCTCATCTTTCTTGTGTGAAATATGGCCAGATGATGAGACGATCCAGCAGCCCAAGACGCGACAACTACGTTCACTTTTGTTTGTTTTCTGGCAGAGAAACGGGATTATCCGGCCCGCTCCGTGCCGTGGACTCGTGGTGCACCGGTGCGTGCACGACAGCCGGACAGCGAGCGCGGCGTACGTGAAAGCTCCGTGCATGGAGCACCGCACGGCAAGCAACCGCGGACCGGCCGTTGCCCGTTGGACTCCTCAAGGGCTTTGTTTGCCAGGTGTGGGTGCTTCTATTTTTGTCAAATTCCGTGCGTTTTCGACAAATTTCGATCGAATTTCGTCAAATTGGACTCTTGTAAAGGAGGTTAATTAATTGCCGCGGGTAAAAATCACTGGTGCAACACGGTCGATGTCAAGGGAAGAGTAGTCATTGCTGTATGTTTATTATCAGAATGAAGATGATTGATAGTCGGCGGGACCAACAATTTTTCTGTTTGACAACAGCAAAAGCCCAGATGGGCGGGAGATGGATATGGATGGGGATCACATCGGCGCCCAGATTAATTCATGGAAGCAGAGCACCTGGTAATTGGGGCCCCAACTGGACTGTCATGAAAAGCAACGAATATCTTATTGTGAAGATCCAGACTATTACCAATCCTTACACACCCCTTGTATCTAATTAAACCTTGGAGGAGCTAATAGTTAGGCTTAGGCGCTTAGCAGATATGGACACACAGATATTTGTTGTAGTAGCTCAGTGGACTTATCATCTTGAGAGTAACTGGCTACAATCTCTTCCATCCAAACAGGCTGTGCTCTAGAGATAGGGAAGACATGACTATTAGCTAGCCTTCTAGATAATGCATCAGCAGCAGAATTTCGAGTGCCCTTATCTATACCCCTACTAATAAAGCAAGGTGCATTTCGCCAATTTTTTCATCCGTTCACCGTCGATTTTTTTCCTATCCGAGGTGGTACTAAATTCTTATGCGTTTGTCTGCTAGAAAAACAATTTTCATACATGGGCCGCACACTGTGGTCCGGCGAAGTCAGCCCACTTATTATTCTGCACATGAAATTATGAAATAAATTCTATTTTCCGCACAGGACGACATATAGTTGGTGCTTCACACATGAGAACCAATAAGGGGCTGGCCCATTTTTCTTAATTTCCATGTTTTACTTCTATTTTTATTCTCCTTTCCCTACCTCTTTTTTCCCTTCCAATTTTTTCGAATTTATTTCATAAATTTAAAATACTCTAAAAAACGCTCAGAATTTTAAAAAATATATTATTTTTCAAAATTCTTTGAGATTTCTGAAATAAAATGGCATTTCAAAAAATTCTCCAAATTTGATAATATTCCTGTTTTTGAGAGTTTTTAACAATGAAAAATAATGTTCATGTATAAAAGATACACATTTTCTAAAAATCTTATGAATTTCAACACATGTTTCTGTTTCATAAAAATGTTCACAAATTCAAATAATGTTCATGCTTTTATAAAAAAAATTGGTGTTTTTAGAAATTTTTTCTGAATTTTAAAAGATGTTCCCTTTCATATTTTGTTCGCGTTTTTCCAAAAATGAACATAATTTTCAAAAAACTTTTTAGGATTTAAAAAATTGTTCATGTTTATTCAGAAATTTCATACCTTAAAATCCCCTCGATTAAAAGGATTGAAAGGAAAAGTAGACTGAATAACTCATGGGCTTTCTCTGACGTACGATAACATAACAAAACACTTAAATGCCCTCGATCAATGAATGGAAAAATTGTTGATTGATTTCTTCACACGCGGTGAAACCGAGAAACTAAATATTCCTTTTTCGTGTGCACACAGGGTTTTGCTTGCACATATAATTCTTCCTAACTTTAAATGCATACTATTTTATCTCCCGTTGCAACGCACGGGCATATGTGCTAGTTGTAAAAAAATTGATAATTCAGTCTCATAAGAGCTTTTTGTTGCTAGACTGTACGGAGATTCTGATTCTACGAGCGGACTATTTCTTTTTATCAGTTCCGGTAGTGAATTGTTGGACATGTAGATAAGCTATCCACTATTCCACAAGTAACAATATTGCCATATACTCCTCATACACTGGGAGAGCTCTGTTTTTAGGACCTAAGGACTTACTAACATAGTCGAGAGAGTGACCACCCTGCATTAATACAACACTAATACCAACATCACAAAGTTTAGCTTCAACTAAGGCTTGTTTTAAAGTCATAAAAGCATCTTAACTAATAGCAGTCCATAGAAAGGGAACCCCCCTTTTGAACAGCTCAGTCAATGGTTTGCTTATAATTTCATAGAGCTTTATGAACTTTCTATAGTACCCACCGAGCACAAGAAATCCCCTTACCTCCTTGACGCTCGGCTGGTGAAGGAGCAGGTGTGCGGGCTGCACCAGATGGCCGGCGTCATCTTCCCCTCTGATGTCTCCGACGACTAGACGATGCCCCTACCGGCGATGACACCTACACGGAAGGCTACAGATGCACAGGTGACCGCAAGGGTAAGGGACCGGCACGGGAGTGGTAATGTCTGGCGCTGACACGTTTCTAGTAATTGTCCAGTGATGAACTTGATCTTTTGGTCTGCTTGTACAAAGTTTATGCTATCTTCGGTAATGAGCTATGTTTATCTAGTTTTATGTCCGATGAAATACGTAGTTGATATATGTACATGTAGTTGTAGTTTCTCAAAGTTGATTGGAATAGAATGATTCTTTTCTACGGAAAGGGTCAGGGAGTGGGTATGAGAGGGACAACTGCGTAGGCAATAAAATAAGGGGTCCGCGGATATTTGGGCGGGCTCTTAAACATTGTTTGAAAGAGCATATAGTAGTACTAGCTTAGATTTGCTGAAATGATAAGTGTCATACGTGTGGCATGAAGCAATCCGGTTCTAACTTTTTCACAACTAAAGAAGCCATTAAAAAGAAATAACCAAACCCCCCAAAAAAACTAAAATTTGCATACCAAAAAGAAAGTTACCATCCTCACATTACTAAATTTATTAAAAAAACGTCCGAAATTACCATGAATTTATGTTAGACGTGTGACATTTATCAGGGTCCTAGATTTGTAGTACTCCATAGGCTGCAGCAAATCAGGCGCCTGGTCGGTGTCTTGGGTGATCTGCACTGTACGGACTGATCGCCAAGGAGGGACTCGGTCGATCGGCCCGGGTGCAACGGCCTTAGGATAGCGCTATAGCTAGATCCACCTTGTCGTTTTTAATGGTCAACGTCTCTGTCTAGATTCGACATCTATATTGTTTTTAATCTGAAACAACGATATATATCCTGTAGTAGTACGTCCGTGGAGGTCGAGTTGACATCAGTACACGATTTCTTTATTTTTGTTGTCTCAGTATTACTAGATTTCAGTATAAGTGTATAGTAGTAGTAGTAGAACTCTGTCGAGAGTTCTGTATTGTTTGTTTTGCCCAGCAGAGCGACCGGTTCAGTGAACGCTCCATCAACTAAGTTTAAAAAAAGAAACGCTCCGCCACCTTACGGTCCTAAACCGGACAACACTGTGTCGTATCTTCATCATCAATCATGAATAAAATGTCCGTAGAAAAGTCGAGCTACGTCGTGGGCCGTTAGATTTCCTTTCTGCTGGACGTACGTATAATAACGCTGTCATGTGGGTCACCCCAGACTGCCCGCCGCAAAGTCAAGCCGTGCATGCCATGGAAAAAGTAGGCTTGGATCCATCCATAATTCAATCCAGAACCCGAGCTCAGTTGCACTCGGTGAACAGTAAAACTACAAAAAATTCCGATTTTTTATGGTGAAAGATTCATGAATGCGTGATGTTCGTGCCAAACTTCAGATCACTGGGGCGTTTGAGAAGCTCTGCACAACAAGTTTATTATAACAAAATCGACTGTCTACTACAACATGTTTTGCCTGGCTCCGGCGAGGGAGGGGCAATGACGATGGCGCGCCTTCAACTTGTTTTAGTGCTTATAGTCGCCGCTAGATGGTCCACGGATCTAGATGTATTTTTTATTATTTTTTATGTTCGTTTTACTATCATGATTGAAGATGAATAGATCAGAAGTTTTGTCATAAAAAAGAAAAGCTCTCGGCAAAAAAGACAAAGTCAAATCTAAACAGTAAACCTTTTCACATATCCTTTTTTTGTCTTTTTTGCTGAGAGCTTCTCAAACGCCCAAAGGTTCTCAAATTTGGCAGGAAAATCACGCATTGAATCACCACAAAATAATTCGAGTTTTTAAAATTTTCCAGTCTTTTAAATGATTTTACTGTTTATATATGGGCTCATCTGAATCCAGGAGCCAAATCGCTGCTTCCTGGATCCATTTTGTCCTTTCTTTTTCTCGTACAAACAACTCAGTTTATAACGAATGTAGAGAGGATATTTGGTGCAACTCATTGTATTCCATGGAGTAGGTTACATTATATACACAGGATGTCTTGTGTGACAAGGTAACTAATCCTACCATATCTCTAGGAGTTAGCTATACAAGGCTAGAGAAGATAAGACTAGAAATACAAGATATGTCACGTTCAACACCCCCCCACAGTCGAAGTGTCGGCGTCGGCGATGCAAAGACTGGAATGAAACTCCTGGAATGCAGCGGTTGGAAGCCCCTTGGTCATAATGTCGGCAAACTGTTGGGTGGTCGGTACATGAAGAACACGAAGCTGACCCAACTGTACCTTCTCGCGGACGAAGTGAACATCAAGTTCAATATGCT